CTCGAAATAAAACTAATTTTTGAATTTTTACAAATCTGTTTTTCTTCTGAAATGTTGCTTCTTTTTCTATAATCAAATATATCATATAATGTTTTGTAATCAAATGCGTGTTTGAGAAATGTAAGTAGCAATAAAAACAATTCTTTTGAATTCAAAATTTGATTTTCGTTTACTGAAAGTATATTTAAATCAATTCGCTGTTTAACATATTTTCTGTTTACAGCGTCCCATCTTCCATTGTATAGTATTATATCGAAAATATCGTCAAATTCATCATTTGTGAATCCTGTTAAATCAACAATTGTTGATGATGTACGTTTTAAAAACACTTTTATTGGATAATTTAAACGTTTTTCATTGGAAGTGGGTTTTGTTGGGTATGTGGATTCTATTGTTATTTCTGCGTTATAATCAATTTCATTTTCACTTCGACGACGCTGTCTTGTTGGTGTGTCTCCCGTGTGATATTCTTCAAATTCTTCCTCATTGACAATTAATGATCTTTGCAATGCAATTAAAGTGTTGTTATGTGATGGTTGTTTCTGAGTTTCGACCATGGTCAAAAGTGGTTGAGGATGTTCAGTTGCTTGGTATGTTGTTTGTGTAGCTTCATTGTACTGTGAATTGTGTATCGAATTATCAGGGTTAATGTTATGAGTGTTTTGAATATTCTGGTGTTGAAATATTTGTTGTATGTGAAGAGTCTGTGGAATTAAATTGACACTCTGTTGACTTTGTGCAATATGTGTTGATTGGCTGTTATTTTGAGAGTTAGTTAAAGACCGTTGTGTCAACTGATTAACTTCACTTTGTGTTGTTTGTAATATCAGTTGATTTGTAGTAATTTGTTGTATAGATACTTCCTCCATATATTGAGTTGATTTGACGTTTCTTTTTATTTTCTTTTTGTTATTTCTTGTTCCTTTCTTTATCGTTCGTTTGAGTGGTGGGTGATTTGTGTGTATATTAGCTTCTTGATTGACATGAGAAGAAAACGTGTGTAGAAAACGTAGAGGTGTAGTGCTCATGTAATTATAAGATTATTTTTGAGTTTCATTTTAATCTCAAGTTTGTTTTTTGTGGCAAAATGAATTTTTACTTATTTACTTTTTGCCTTTTGTTTCTTTTTCTCACAAAATCACCATTATTATTCATCAATTTTTATTTTATTTTTTATTTTTTTAATAGTTATTTTAAATAATTATTTAATGATTTTAAAATAGTTTTAATATTGATTAATTTATCTTTTTTATAAGTAAATTTTATTGTATTTAAATTATAAATATAGGTCAGCGACTTTTGATATGACTAAAAAGTCGGCGACTTTTTAGGAAACTCAAAAGTCGCCGAACAGCTATAAATGAAATGCTTTTCAAAAGAAAAGGATTTCATTTAAAATTAATTATAATATTATAAATTAATTATAAATTAATGTAAAGATTTGGTTTTTAAAGTCTTTGAAATTTAAAATAAATACTAATCGTGGAAAATTCACAATTATTTAAAATAATTTATTTGGAAAAAAAACGATTAAACTATAATAGTAGTTTTGTTGTAATAATTTATTTGTTCAGTTTAATAGTATACAGTTTAATTTTTAAATAAAAACATAAATAATTTAACAAAATTATTACAATAATTTTATTCTGTTAATTAAAAAATAATACAGTTAGTTTCATTTTGTTTAATAATTTTTTCAAAATTATAATGTTTTGTTTCAAAATAATGATAAAAATGTACCTTTAATCAACACTGTTTCAAAACAATAATTTATTGTTTCAAAAGAAAAACAATTGTTTCAAATTAATGAATAATTGTTTCATTAAATGATTTATTTTACATTAATTATGACTAATTGTTGAAAAAACTTGTTTTTTTGTTTCAAATTTTTAATTATTTGTTTCAAAACTGTGTTTGAATTCTCAAAACAATAAACACAAACAAACAATGAAAACAAACACATTTTGACAATAACTAACTGGAAAAATAAAAAATGTATATATTTAAACACCATTTAAATCTATATTTTCAATGGCAGTTAACACTTTTCAGTTTATTCATAGAGACAATGTCCAATCATTTTTGAATCAAGAAGATCCTCATCAACAACCAGTTCTTGATGAAGTACCACTTGCACAATTGAGAACTACAGATGAAATTTCAAGATCAAGTAGTTTGCGGAACACTGAAACACAACCATTTGGAGACACACAAATTACAACAAAACAAACAGAACAAAAAAGAATCTATGTTAAAGCGACCCAGTCCCAGAAAAACAGACTTTATAATGAATACTGTGAACACGGAGAAATCAAAGATTGGCGATATTATCAAGAAAAAAGCAAAATGAATGAACAAATGGTCAAACGGTATTTGAAGTATCTGAAAGGTGGTATTGATATTACGCAAACTCAAAAAGTGGGAAGAAAACCAAAATATTCTCCTGAGTTACTCACCGAAATAGCCAATAAATTAACAATAGAAAATAAAACACTAAGAGAAACCAAAAAACATTTGGCAGATAGTGTTTTGAATGAAATAAGAACTAATATAAAAGTAGTGTCAATTTCAACAATAAGTCGATATATCAAAGACCCAGACATAATGAAAGTAGCCGAACTTCCACCTTTAAGTTTTACCGAGTGCACAATAAGAGGTCCCAGAGCGAACACACAGGAAAACAAATTACTACGAGTACAAAAAAGAAGAGAACTTGATCAATTTATTTCTTCGGGTTATCAAGTTGTTTTTGTCGACGAGAGTCACTGGAAGGTTGGCAATGTCAGATCCAGAAATTGGGGTGTTAGAGGAAAAAAACATTTTCGTGAACAACCATTGTCGACATTTAATTTATCGTGCGTCTGTGCTATAAGTGATACCGGTTCAAAATATTGTACTTTATTTAACCAAACTATTAATGGGGAAATATTTATTAAATATTTTAAATTCCTCATTGAGACATTCACAACGGATGGAAGCAGGATTGTATTTGTCATGGACAATGCTTCAGTCCACAAAGATGACATTGTTCAACTTGCAGAAGACAGAGGGTGCAAAGTGTTGTTCAATGCGCCTTACTCACCAGAGTGCAACCCTATAGAAAACGTATTTGGAATATGGAAAGTCCGAGTTGGAAAATTGAATAATGTGACTATAGCAGATATGATTGAAAACATCTCAAAGTGTTTTGATGAAATTAGTCCAATTGAAATAAGACGAATTGTAATGAATTTTATTAATATTGTTTCTGTGAAAGTTTTTGCAATGGAAGATCTTTAACTGGTTTTTAATTTTTTGTGTTTATTGTTTTGAGAATTCAAACACAGTTTTGAAACAAATAATTAAAAATTTGAAACAAAAAAACAAGTTTTTTCAACAATTAGTCATAATTAATGTAAAATAAATCATTTAATGAAACAATTATTCATTAATTTGAAACAATTGTTTTTCTTTTGAAACAATAAATTATTGTTTTGAAACAGTGTTGATTAAAGGTACATTTTTATCATTATTTTGAAACAAAACATTATAATTTTGAAAAAATTATTAAACAAAATGAAACTAACTGTACAACAAAATAATAAAATAAAAGTGTTGTTTTTTTTCGTTCTTTTAAAGAATAACATGATTTAAAATGAAACTAAACTATTGAAATATTTCGGGAAATAGTTCATATTATATCAAAATTATTTTATTAGTTTTTATAATATTTTATTTATAGTCGGGTGATAAAGGGGGTTAATTTGGGACAGAAGTAGTTAATTTAAGTAAAAAACTATAAAATATAATTTCTTTAACCATAAAAGTATTAGAAGGGTTTTTTCAATTAACTACTTTGAAGATAATAAAAGAAAACCATAACTTTTTATTTTTGATATTATTCAATCTTTGAAAACAATGGAAGAAGAAGAGTAAGGAACCCTCGATGAAACAACCACAGGCAATCAACACAAAAAAAGCAATTTAAATACAAGAAACCAGTTTAAAAACTGTATTTCAATATATATTCATGATGTATATGGTTAAAATGCCAGAGTTTAATGAATTAACTACAATGTCAATCTTTTAAAGTGTCACAGAATCACTGAAAATCCATCATTTGTTGAAATCTTTTAATCTTTCGTTGTTGAACCATTCCCATTGAGAAAGGAAAAGAGAAAGACCATTTTAACACCAAAACAATTGGAGTTGAAGAAGAGCAGAAAAGAAACGAAACAAAGGAAAAAACAAAGGAAAATCCTTTAACAAAACAAGTTTCAGACAAACCACAAAAAGTGCTGCGTTTTAGACTTCCACATTTCTCTAAGTGAACAAATTGAGGTGTTTTTGTTTATTTTTGAAATAGAAATTTATAATTATTCAATTTATAATCATTTAAAATTAAAAAACTATAATTTAAATTAATATTTTAATTTTATGTTTATTTTGACCTTTAAATAGATTTTTTAAAAATTATAGTTTCAAAATTATATTTATCAAAATTAACTACCTTTGTCCCTTTTTAATGCCATTTATCCCCCGACTATATATTATTTTTTGATTATTTTAACTATTTTTAAACTATTATTACAATTAACATAAAAAGTCGGATGATGAGAAAAAGGGGGATGCTAATCTAAATATTAATTAATTTAATATTATTAATAATAATTAATTAATATAAATTTATTTTGGTTTTTTCATTTTATTATTTTTTTGGTTAATAATTTATATTAAAATTAATAGTAATTTTATTATTTTTCAATTGAAACTAACCAATAGTTACGAGCATCCTCCTTTCTCTATCATCCCCATATTTTTTTCTACAGTAAAACAAATAATTTTGATTCAAATAAAAAGTGTTTAATAGATAAAAAAGTTACGACTTTAAAAAGAAGTTATTTATAGCTAATTTATAATTAATAAAAACCATTTTCATAATTAAATAATAAAAACTCACAATACAAAAAATTTTGCTCATAAAAAATAATTATAAGGCATACTGATGTACCGCACAGTGGAAGATCCCTTTAAAAAAAACATTGATACTCACGACGAACTCCGACTCAGTACACGAACGAAATTCATCACACACAGTAATTTTATTGACTTACAACCGGAAATTGATGCTGTTTGTCTTGTTGAATGACTATTTACTCTTTCGATAACAAACAACAGCAAATAACTTCAAGAGGGTACAAGAGATAAACAATATGTTAAATTCCGCAAATATGACTGTTATCGATGAGGCGTTCAAGAAGATCGACAGCGGGATGAAGACGAAAAACAAGCGGTTTGTGAAATTGTTGTGGAAACAGACGACTGTATTCGACAAGCTCTGCAACTTTGCTGCGAACGATAATTACCCGTTTGACATCTCTTCGCGCGCACTCTTTTTACTCTCCGAGTTGACGGTTAACAAAAACTTCTTTCAGTCGTTTGCACACGATAGTCTCAATACAATGCTTCCAAGGTTAAATAAAATCCTAACGCCACCATTTAAGATGGCGAATGACCCTCTAGTTCAAAGTACATTCTTCTTATTGGCTAACATTATTTTGTATTCGGACTTTTCAAGGCCATATGTACTCACTGTGGAGTTCTTAAACCAATTTGTTGCAATTGCCGACTTCTATTTGACTAAAGAAAGAAACATCTATGACTCATTACTGATGATGGTCTATGCTTTGGTAACAATAACTCCACAATCAGAATGTATTGTAGATTTGACACTCAAGTATTTGCCATTATTGGGTCAACATTTTAGAGACGACACATCAACAATGCTGACATTAAAGTGTTTAAGAATGTTGTCGTGTTACAATGACGGTCAGTTGGTTTGTAAAACGTCCAATGTGACTTTTGTCTTTGAAACCCTCAAAGACGTCTCACTCTTTGGAGCGTCCGATATGAATTTTGTGATCATCGAAACTGTCAACAATTTCTTGACAAAGAATCCGTGTATTGCCGAGAAGTATATGGCAGTCTATCGTAACTTGGTCAAAAATTTACCAAACCTCGTTGTGAGCTCCGACACTATGTTAAACTCAATGGCGAATATTCTTCAACACTACCCATATCAAGTCCAACTACTTGACATCATTTTGGATCAATGTTTGTTTAAAGTAGTGTTGGATGCGATGAAAAGTCCACACGTCTTAATCTCTCAAAGCGCAATTCAACTTGTAGAACTGGCGTTTCAAATTTCTAAATGTGAATACCAGTGTTTTTCTAAATTGTTTAATTTGGAAATCACTTCGGCAGTGTGTGAAGCGTTGCAAATCAGTGTTAAGGAATGTCGAAAACAACATACAACTGTGTTAGTAGATCTGCTCATTTCTCTTTTCGATGTTTGTTATTTGTAACACCATAACGATAACACTGACATCTTAGGTCTGTTCTTCAAATGACCAAATGTTCTTGTCAAGGTATATAGAACAGATGGAAGAAACTGAAGGCTTGGATACGCTTAACAACGTTAGCCAAATCTACCAATTCCTCTCTCTGAAAGTAAACAAGTTTGTTTTTATGCTGAAAAGATCAATTGAAGAGATTATAAAAAGCGTTATCACTGATTTGTAGTCTTCTTAATTTAATAAGTAAAACTATGGTTATATCAAATGATTTATAACTAATTTGGTGTTTTGTTCTATTTTGAAAGTGGACACTCCTTGTTACATTACTCAAAACAAATCAGAGAAGCAACAAATCACATTTTTATACATTTGATGTGTAGAATGTCATGAATAAACTTGACAGACGACCACCCTGTCAGTTTGATATATCTCAAATGGTACAAAACAGGGGGGAAACCCTGGACAGAACGTTTGAACGTCTGCCCATATCCGACATCGGAACGAATTCTCCTCTCTAAATAACGCAAACGAGCCATACGACCCAAAGTAAAACTCTCTGTCCGTTCCAAATAAAACTCCCTTTTGACAATTTTGCTTATAAAAGACGTGCATCGTGTGAACTTCATCGAAGTAAAATATAAAATGTGTTGGATCAGTAGTCCATGAATTTGTCCAAGTGTCGTGTTGTTGGAAGTAATGAAACCCGATAACATATTTGTTGTGGGGGAAGAGAAAGACTACTATATTCTGTTTGTCTTTGAGACACTCTCTCCATGTGTATAAATCTTGTGGATCGATATCACTGTCATATAAAACACTATACTCCTTTTGATGCAAAAACTCAAGAAGCTTATCCATTACTTTATATAGTTCTTTTTATATGATTTTACTTTCTATATAAAAAATCAATAGAATAATAAAAAATACTATTAAAATTAGTATATGAATTGATTAATAGATTTTATTAATATATCTATTAATATCTATTAATATTATTTTAAGTAATAATATGATATAATATAATATAATATGATATAATATAATATATAATAATAATAGAGCTTAATATATCAATACCACATATCATTAATTCTTACTATTTTCGAGTGTGTTATAAAACCATATTTTATTGTGTGAAAATATGTGTGAAAAGACTACCAAATATAGTTTTGAGCGTCTATGTTATTTGTTAAATATATAGTAAACTATATAATAATTTTGTTAGATTATATTGTACAGTCAAATTTGTTTTCCATCTCAAAAGACTACACAACATGAACCAAGAAGAGAAAAATCACATCCAAAAAACATGCGACGAAATGATAGAAACGAGCGCACAGTCTTATCAGGCTGTTCTAAAAAATGGAGAGGCGTTGGACAAATTGGAAGACCAATCAGCAACTTATAAAGAGAAAACAGACGAGTTTACAACTAAAACTAAAAAAACCGAATACTCAATGATGTCGTCAAAAAGAAAAATTATTACTGGCGTTATTGTCGGGGCTGTCATTTTGGCAATAATGATCGTTGTGTTAGTCATCGTTATAATCTTGGCTTGTGTTCTGTAAAGTCAATTACTATAATTTGTGGTATTATATTTTTTTTTTATATAAACGAAGACTCAATTCTTTTTGGAAATTCTTTTTTGTGTTTTTAATAAATGATTTTGCTTTAAAATAATGAAGTCGGAAACAATATTTCTATGGTTCAATATCTAAAAAACAATTAATTAATTAATAATTTATTAAATATTAATAATAATAATTAATTTATTATTATTTGTGTTTTTTTTTTATTTTCAATTGTTACAAAAAAAACATTCAATATTAAAAACTCAAAATAATATTTTTTTAATATTATTAAAAGGATAATAACAAAATAATAACATTTTATAATCACTTTTTATTTAGTCTTTTTAAATAAAATATGTTAATGTCGAACTAAATAAACATTTGTGTGTTATTTTGTTGTCAACACTTTTGAACTAAAAAAGAGTAAATAACCCAATCGAAAAATACATTAAATACCAAAAAAACAATACTGTAGTTAATATAATTATAAACAATTAATAATTATTAATTTATTGAAATACCAATCAAAAAAACACATAAAAAATTGAAAAAAGTTGTTTGACTAATTTTCATTACCAAAATGAAAGAAAGATAATAAAACTATGGAACAAACAAAACTTTTTCTTTGATGAAGAAATACATTTTTGGAATAATTAGAACATATTAATTACCATTTAATAAAAACAATGATTTAAATTTATTATAATTATAATAAAATATTCAAATGAGTCGAAACCAAACAAAAGAGAACCCAAAATTGTGTGAATACCAATTCTGTTTGAACTTTACCTATTCTCAAAGAAAAAACGACAGACAGTTATTCTCTCCAAAACGATCCGTTTTGGTTACTTTACAATGTGAAGAGCCAATTACAAAACAAAAGATTATTAATATTGAAGTACTTAGATTTCCAAATTAAAATATGTCCAAGACAGCTACTCTTTTACAATGGTGTAAAATCAACACCTCTGGATATAAATCCGTCAACATCACATCATTCGAGCCGAACTCTTGGAAGGATGGTTTAGCATTTTGTGCACTCATCCACAAGTTCCATCCTGAAGCAATTGATTTCAATGCACTCGACAAAGCAAACTACGACCATAACTTGACCTTAGCCTTCGACACATATGAAAAATTGGGTGTGCCAAAGTTGTTGGATGTCGAAGACTTAAATCGGTTGGACGAATTTGGGAAGAGTTGTATTGACAAATACTCAATTATGACATACGTCGGCGTAATAAACACGACTTTTGAATTCAACGGAACACACCACGAAGAAGGCGACCCACAACCAAAAAAGACACCCCAACAAAATACGCAATATAAGGCTTACACATCGACAGCTGGTCCACCACCACGACCACACATTAAACGAATCGACCCAATGCAACACGCCGACCCAAGTAAAAGTGCTCCCAAAAGCCCACGCAAAAAGAGCACTGCTCCGTTTGTCTTTACCGTTATTATAGTTGGAGTTCGATTTAATTTGTCGTATAAAAGTGACTGGAAGAAACCAAGTTGAGGTGTGTGCCAAATGTGGACAATCGTTAGGGAATGATGTACTTGAGGCGCTTGGAAAGAAGTACCATCCAGACTGTTTTGGGTGTGTCAAGTGCTCGAGGAAATTGGGTGCGGACTTTGTCACGTTCGACAACTTGGCGTATTGTAAGGCTTGTGGGAAGTTGGAATGGGTGACCCGTCAGGCCAAAAAGAAGGTTGAACTTGCTGCCAAAAAGAAGACTGAAGATGATGACCTTAAAGTGAAAGAGTCCAAACGGTTGTACGAAGAGAAACAGAAAAAGGAGAAATTGGAGTTTGAGCAAAAACAGAAAGAAGAAAGGGAGAAACGCGAGAAAGAAATGGCGGAGAGGAAAAAGAGAGAGGAGGAGCACAAAAAGGCGCTTGAAAAAGAAAAGAACGAGAGACTTGAGCGAAAAGAAATTAAGGAAAAGGAGAAGGCAGAGTTGGAAAAGAAGAACGAGCAAACAATAGCATTAAAGAAAAAGGAAGAGAACGAGCGCAAAGCTGTCATTGAAAAATCGACGCCGTCGAGTGTTGTGCAAAGCAAAAACTACACCCCCCTTCCGAAAAAACAACCCCCCGCCGAACCAGAGTGGAAAAGGAAACAACGTGAGGCGGAAGAAAAAAAGAAGGAGATGCAAGAAAAACTGAAAGCGATCAAACAAAAGCGAGACGCTGAAGCCGACGCAAAAAGAAAAGAAAATGAAGAAAAGCGAAAGGAAAAGGAGAGAAAGGAGAAAGCTGAGAAAGACCGACTTGAGAATGAAAGACTCGAAAAGGAAAAGGCCGAGAAATTACGAGCTAAAATGGAAGAAGACAAAAAAATCGCAGAACAAAAGAGACAAGAAGAGCTGAAAAGGCAAGAAGAGGCGAAAAAAGCTGAAGAAATGAAACGGCAAGAGGAATTAAAGAAACAGGAAGAGATTCGAGCGCAACAAGAAAAGGCGAGACTTCAAAAGATCGAGGAACAAAAGAAAATTGAAGAACAAAAACGTAAAGCGGAAGAATTGAAACAACTAGAAGAAAGAAAGAAACAAGAAGAATTGAAAAAGGCCGAGGAAGAACGACAACGCAAACTTATTGAAGAAGAAAAAGAACAAGAACGCAAAGCTGAACTTATGAGAAAGCAGAAAGAGGAGGCTGAGCGTAGAAAGCGAGAAGAAGAATCCCACAAAAGAGAGTTGGAACGGCAAAGACGTGAGGCGGAGAGAAAGAAGAGGGAGGAAGAGTTTAACCGACAAGAAGAGATCCGAAAACAGAATGAAGCTCTAGAAAAGAAACGACAAGAGGATTTGCGCATCAAGAAAGAGAAAGAGCTTCAACGCATTGCCGAAGAGAAACACCGAAAGGAGCAAGAAGAGTTGAAACGGTTACAGGAAGCCGAGCGAATAAAAAGGGAAAAGGAGTTACAACAGAAGGCAATCGAAGAACAAAAACAAAAACAAATTGAGGAGCAAAAACGTGCTGAGGCTGAAAGAATCGCCGAAGCTGAAAAGCAAAAGAAAATTGCTGAGGAAAAAGCAAAAATTGAAGCTGAGAGGAAACGAATTGAAGAAGAACGTCGTCAAGAGGAGTTAGAGAGAATACGCGAGGCGGAGGAAGAGAAGAAGAGAGTGGCTGCTGAAGAAGCTGAGAACATTCGTAAAGAGAACATTAGAAAGAGGAGAGACGAAGAGAAGCGGAAAATGGAAGAAAAGATGAGACAAGAAGAGGAAGTGAAAAAGAAGAAATGGGAGGAGATACAAAAGCGCAAACAAGAGGAAAAAGAACGGCAAGAAAAACTCGAAACCGAGAGAAAAGAGCGCGAACAACAAATTCAACTTCAAAAGGAAGCGGAAGAGAAAAAGCGTGTTGCTTTACTTGAAGAGCAAAAGAAACAAAAACTCGTTGAAGAGCAGAAAGCAAGAGAATTGAAAGAACAACAAGAAAAGGCTGCGAAAGAAGAAAAGGCACGCCAAGACAAAATTGCTGCAAAAAAAGAGGCCCAGAGACAACGAGAAATCGAAGCACAAAAAGCTTTAGAAAAGCAACAATTGCAAGAAAAAAAGGAGAAAGAGCGATTGGCCAAAGAAGAGGAAAAGCGCAAAAAGAAAATTGCGGAGGAATTGGAACAGAAAAGACTCGAGGAAGAAGAAAAGAAGATCGAAGCCGAACTGAAACGTATTGAAGAAGAAGAACGCCAGGCACAAGAAAAAGAAGAACAAGAGAGGCGTGCCATTGCTGCTGAAGAGTTGAGAATCGCTGAACTTAAAAAGGCCGAAGACGAAAAACAACGTATTGCAAACGAAGAGAGTGAAAGGAAGAAAAAGCTGGAGGAAGAGAAAGAACGAAAGGAGCTTGAAGAGAAACAGAAAAGAGAATTGGAAGAATTTGAGAAGAAGCAGAAGGCCGACATGAAGGCGATGAGGAAGACACTTTCAATGCAACACAAAAAGGAACTCCCGAAACCACCACGTTCTGACGCTCAAAAGGAAGACATGGCGCCTTGTGTTCTCCAAATCAACATTCTTAAATTGACGAGTGTTAAATATGTCAAACACCCAATGTTCCAAGTCAAACTCGAAACAACAAATTCAAACACTCAAGTGCTGATTATAAATAAAGTCAATAGCGACATCGACAACAAGCTCTTCTTTAATGGTGTCAATTCCTTCTCTTCACTCACAATATCCGTTTTCGAAGAAACGACGGGAATGACATTTGACGATCTCGTCATCAGTCTCTCCGACTTGAAACTGAATGAAGTAAAGAGTTGTATTGTTCCATTGAAAGACCCGGACCACCCCTGCGAACTCTCTTACACCGCGAAGTTGATTACAATGGTTGAGGGCATGCGACAAACTGCTTTGAACGTTTTGGATTTGAGAAAGGGAAGTCCACAAGAGGGTGTTTTTGACTTGAGAATCAACGGTCCAAAGGAGATGAAAGTACCACCCGGGGTCAAAGAAATATACTGTGTTGTTTCTGTTGGTCAACAAGCGCCGGTGCAAACACGTTCTTACATTCCGTCTGTCAATATTTGGAGTCAATTTTTGGCGTTTGACTGCAAACATGATGACCAAGTCAAAATTGATATTTTCGGGAAGAAGAAATCGTTGTTCCAGACGACCGTAGTCCCCATGGGGAAAGTGGTGTTTGGGTTGAAGGGAGTCAAAACGGGGATCAAAGAAATGTTGCTCAACATCTTCCCACAAAACGAAGAGAATGTCAGCGGGCAGCTGAACGTCTCGATGAACTACCAAGATAACACGGTTGAAGTCGAAGGCGCAGACCCAACACTTTTGAAAACACTGAACGGCACATTTGATAAAATGGTTGTTGAGAGACAAGGTGATCTCGCCGATCTTGATGACAAAGAAGTTGACCAGACGGATGTCAAGAATTGGGACGGGAAGGCTGGGTATCTCCTTTTGAAGTCTGAGAGGACTGGAAAGACGAAACGACGCTTCTTTTATTTGTTCCAATTCAGCAGAGAGCTTGTGTATTACAAAACGCAACAAATTCGATTTAATAAACAGCGAGAGGTTGGAGACGATACTGAAACACCAAAGGTGATCGATTTGGCGTTTTGTAAACTGTACGGTGTGGCGAACACGAACAAATTTGTACTGGAATCTCCGCACCGACGATACGTCATTGATACAACAGTACCCGAAGAGAAGGAGAGTTGGATGAAGCGCATAGATGATGAGTTGAAGTCGATCAAAGACTACACGAAACAAGATTCAACGATGTCAATGGAGAAATACGGTCGGTCGAGTTACGACATACAAAGCGGAACTCTGTTGATGAAAAGAGACGACAAATTTTCGCCTGTATTTGTTGAGTTGCAGAGTGGGTTCATTTTTATATCGGAACCAAACTCGAAACCGAAGAAGATGATCAGCAAGTTGAGTTTGTATAAATGTGGAATGTCCGAGTATGACCCAGAGAAGGTAGTCAACGCAATTCAAATAGATGACCAATACAAGAAGAGGGCGTTCATTTTTAAACTAGAGAATTTTGAGAAGATGCATTATTGGCTGAACGCGATTAAGTGGCAGCAATGTTTTATAGAAGAATGCATCGACAACATCGTCATATTGTGATGAGTAAATTGACTAAATTGCTTTACATGTCATTATTTGTATAGATTTTTGAATTATAATGAATTAATTGATTTGGTGTATTTAAAATGAAGAACTTATAAACAAGTCTGCCATCTTATGAGTAGTGGAATACAAAATATTATAGTTTTAATTATTATATAATTAATTAATTAGAAGCAATGAAAAACCAGAAAACTAAAAATGTACTAATGAACGTTGTTCCGGCCGAAGAGATAGAACGTTACTCTGAAGACCCATTCAATTGGCGTGTGATTCGGCTCAGAGAACGTTCTAATGAGTACTCTGTCCGCAAGGATTATACAGTGACTATGGTGACGTATAACATAAACGAGAAAATGATCGAACCAAAAGGATTTGCATACATCCTCGACTCTCAAAAAGAAGCAACCGACTTTCTCTTTATCGCAGTTGAAGAGATCGATATGAGCGTCACCGGATTTTTAAAGGGAAGTGCACTCACACCAAAAGCTGTTGACTTGTCGTATAACGTCCAAAGTGGACTTGCGGCATTGAACAAAGCGAAGTACACCAAACTCACTGTTCTTCAATTAGGCGGAGTCGTTTTGATGGGGTTTTGTAAGGAAGAGATTCGAGACAAAGTAAAGGAGGAAGGATCCGGGTGCGAGGCAGTGGGTGCGATGGGTATAATGGCAAACAAAGGAGGGATAGCGTATTCATTCAAAATACATGACACACAGATTTGTGTAGTTGGAGCGCACTTAGCTGCGATGCAAGGGGAAGTGGAGAAGCGCAATTCCAACTTTAATGATATCTTCCACAACATTGTGATATTCCCAATCAACGAAAGCGCGGAGTTTAAACGCAAAACTATAGAGAGCCATGACATTGTGTTTTGGATGGGAGATTTGAATTATCGACTTGACGAAGAAGACAGTGTCATTCGCGAGAAGATCAAGAGTAAAACAGCGTATGAATTAGTGCCTGAAAAAGATCAGCTCGTTGTACAAAGACGAATAGTCCCACTTCTTGGTCAATTCACGGAGGCTCCTATCAACTTTTTGCCGACTTATAAATTTGTTATTGGGACACAAGAATACCACGAAAAGAGAAAGCCTGCGTACTGCGACAGAGTGTTGTTTAAGTGTGAAAAGGGGTTGAGTGTGTCGTGTTATGACTATCTTTCAAAACCCGACTTAATAGAGTCGGACCACAAGCCGGTCAAGGGATGTTTCCGGTTTGAAACGCGAAGCATTATCCCCGAGAAGTATAAAAACGTCGAGAAAGAACTTGTCGATATGGAAGACAAACTCCTCAAGATTGTGAAGCCATCTGTTGCGATAGACAGACAGGAATTCACTGTGGAAGTGTATCCATACCAAAGGACAGACGTTGTGTTGTTGGCACAGAACGACGGGAATGTTAAAGCCAATGTTTGTATTCGAGACCCAAAGTTGGAGAAGAGTGGAGGGTTTCCGTCATGGCTGAAAGTCACGCCGAACAAATTTGAGTTTTCAAAGAACGACATTTTACCGAAGAGCGTGACATTCAGTTTTTTGTTTGATTTTGTGGAGCACATGGAAATGTTCCAAAAGGGAGAAAAGAACTTTTTGTTGGTGTTTGAGATCCAAGGAGGAAAGACTCTGTTCATTACTTTCAAAATTGTGTTGAAAAAGACGTGTCTCTGCAAATCAATAGAAGACCTAAACAAACATTCGAATGGGTATGTCTTAAATCAACCCAACTCCACGAACCAAATCATCCCTAAAGAGGTCTGGAGACTCTGTGGATTCATTGTGCCACATTTGGGGGAGAAAAATTTGTTCACGACATTCCCATCAGAAGAGAACACACAAAGCTATTTGGACATATTAAGGGCTTTGGATTTACACGAAGAGTTTAAGAAGAATACCGACGTGAAAAGAGTCATTGAATTCTTGGCAGTCTTCTTAATGAATTTAACAGAATCAATTATTCCATCAAGTCTGTATGATCAAGTCGTACTATCAAGTGATAAAGTCGAAGTCGATTCTGAAAGGTTCTTCGTGAGAAATAAGAACCAAATGCCCACATGCAATTACAATTTGTTTGTCTACATGATTTCATTCATTAAAGAAGTCCTAAAGAAAAATGGCGAACTTGTCTCTGAAAATGTTATTAGGTACTTCACTCATTCGTTCGTTAGACCAGCTGACGGTGTGAAGAGACAGTGTGATGCTCGTAATATTGAGAAGTTCCTCCTCAAATTTGTCTAAATCTAAACCATTCTTATACTGGAATTTATCTTTAGCGCAATCATTTTTATAGTTGTTTTATAGTATTTTTGTTGTTTTTTGACTTCTGTGGTTCAAATGGTAAAACTATAAATTATAACACTTTAAATTAATAACAATACTATACGAAAGATCAATTTACTCAAAAAATTAGTCATCACTTTCATCTTTTTGTATCGATCAAATAGATTCTAATAAAAATTCCAATAAAAAAGTTAATAAAAAAACCTCAAAAAAATCTTTAAGTTAACTAAAAAATTAAGAAGAAGTCGATGGAGTTTGGCGACGATCAAGACTTTGTGACATTTGAGATGGGCAATTTTGAGGGCCAGGAGTTAAACCTTGATACTCCGGATGTTGTGTACCCAATAAATATACCAGCCCCAGTTGTTCCCGTTGGGTTTCAAAAGGTAGCGTCACCCATCCCTCCACCAACAAAGATCACAAACTTGGAAAAGAGTGAGTCACCAAATCCACAAGTCAAAGACATCCACAATTCGACACCAACACCAGTGATAGCTTCGCCAATACCTAACAACATAAGAGGATTTGAAAATGTCGAGGACAAACCTTTTGAAAACGAACCACCTTTACTTGAAGAGTTGGGGATCGACTTTAAAGTGATTGGGAAGAGGATTGTAACGAAGTTAAACCCATTGACCAAAAACGACGACTATGAAAGTGACGTTATCGGCTCGTTGTTCTTCGGGTTGTTACTTGGCGTTGCGATTTTGCTCACCGGGAAGTTCAGATTTGGGTATGTCTTTGGATTCACCTTTGTCGGGTCATTTGCCGAGTATTTTGTTTTAAGCCTTCTTTCTGTGAAGAAATTGGATTTCTCTGTGGTATTAACCAATTTGGGGTATTCATCATACCCACTCGTTGTTCTTGCAGTGGCCTCTGTATTTGTGTCGTTTGTCATTTAATTCAATTTGATTCAAGAATATGAATAACTTGAAGGAATAAGACTATACTTTCCATCATCGCGATCTCTGGAATAGCATGGTGCACACTATCAAGTAGCAGATTCTTTGCTAATATCCAGGAAATTACAGACAAAAAGTTGTTGGTTGCATATCCCATGGCGTTGTATTTCATCCTCTTTGTTTTGCTTGTCATGTTCTGATGGAGGGCAGCTTTATTTAAGGAATTATAAAAAAGTGATTATCTTATGCACTTGAATTTCTTATTTGTATTAATAACAGGTATATGGTGTCTATGAACCATAAACTCCATACTATAACATAACTATCATTGAATTATTGAATTATTGGTATAAATAGAATAGGCACTTTTGTATTTAATTAAAGAGACTCTTATAGTTTTATTTAATAACAAAATCTAAAAATAAACAATTCTTTCCTTTTATTAACTATTTTAAATTAAAAATTACTAAATCGTATAAGCCGAAATAACTTTGATTCTTCCAACTTATAAAATATTTATTACAATATTAAGAATCAGTTAGACTCCTTTTTATTTACCAATATATAAATTTAATGTTAAATATATATACCAATTCATATTCTGCTGATATATATCAGCAGAATAAACAGTCTGATTTTTTGAATTTTGTTGTTTCTTATACAGACCGAGTAAATAAATATTGGAGGGCATGTTATACTTGCCATTTTGTTGGTTTTTGAAATAAAGTATATTTGAAATTGAATTTATTGTCACAGTGATTTAAAAACTCATTAGTTTTCTCTTTGGGGTCATTTGATACATCATAATATTTGACAAAGTAATCATCAATTATATTGCAACAGTATAAACATGTTTATTTTATATGTTGGATGTTTAAAATAAAATTATAATTACATTTTACCTATTTTACAACAATTTTATCTTTTTTATTATTTACTTAGTAAATTATAAGAAAAAAAAACAAATGCCAGAGCTTCACATTTTATGTTTTAATTGTGTTTTAATAAATAAATAATTATATCATTTATTATTTTTCAAAACTATTATCTTTGTTTTTATAACTAATTCAGTAAAACAATAGTTTGTTATACCTATAAAAATATACATGATAGTTTTCAAATCTTAGCTAAATTACCTTTGAATCTAAGCTTTTTTAATAATAGATTTAATTTATTGTTTTAGTAACATTCAATACAATACTTTTTTTACGGCAAATTTTATTATCTTTCACCAACTACTCCAAAAATATTCCATTTTGAATACCAACTAACAGAAATATACCACATATCACCTTAACTTTTTGCTACAAACACCCCTTTATTTTAAAATAGATTTTATAAAAAATTAAACGTTATAAGAACTTTACAATAGCAATCTTTATAATAACACAAAGTCCAAATTTCTAATTTTTTATTTTTGTTATTAATTTTTATTATAACAAAAAGTTATTTTAAGAAAATTAGTTATTAAATTAATAAAAACTATTAATAACTAAAATTGTTTTGTTTTGTGTTTCAAGAAAGCGTATTTGTCTAACTCCTTCTTTTTTAAACAACTCCACAGACTCAAGAATATCACTAAATTGGTATAGAATATAAATATAGCAATTTATGTTATTTCTTATTACAATAATAATGAAACAATATTAATATAACATATATATTATATCTTAAATTAATTTTATTATTTTTATTTCCAAAAACTGTCTTTTGGTGATAAACAATCAATATTGCTGTTTTTTACCCAAATTTAGTGTCTGAAATCTTTTTTTAATTATTGTAAAAATGCCACACCAACAAGTCTAAACCAACCAACCAATTATATAAAAGTGTTACCATCTTGTTTTTTTTGTCTGCTATGATATATGTCTTTCGCCAAAGTATACCCTTCCAACACAGTTTCATTTTTATTCCAATGAATAGTTCTAGAGAAAATAAATTGTAAGTTCACCTCTCGGAATTCAAAACAGAGGTCATGCTGAAAGATAGGATTTCGCGTCTGAGTCGGGATGGGGATATGCTCTTCACAAAGGACAAACAAATCTGTGAACAGTTCAAGCGCAATGCTTCAAACCTTTTATCTGATATCAAAACGCTGACTTTCACTATTAAAACGACGATGAATTTGATCCAAAAAATTAACACACAAATTGGTAACCTGTACACGGGAAGTGACTCAATTATTGCCGACGAACTCAAACAATTTCTAGCGTCGACGGAGAGTATGGAAATCACGTCACTTCCATTAATTGAGAAAGAGGTCGACTGTTGTGAGGCGTCACTCAAAGAGTTCACCAAGAAGTCTTCCAAACTATCGAACGACGAATTGAAGGCACTTATAGAGCAAAGATTTGATAATTTAGATCCTTGCATTTTACTTGTTTGTGCTCTATTTTTATTTAGTTTAATAAGTGTTATGTTTAATTAATGCGTGACAATTTAGTATATGAAAACTGTCATCAACTTCGAAGGTGAGAAGGCAAACTCATTTAAGAAAATATTGTACTACGCCGTTCAAGATGGGTTAAGTGTACCAAAAGGGCTCAAACTCTTATCAACATTTCAGTCCATTGCAGACAGCCGAGTGGGGAGTTTGTACTTAGAAAAGTATTTAAAAGAGTCGAACGAAGAACGATTGATCCAATTTTATCGAGCAGTTTTACTCTATCGCAACATCAAAACTGAAAATGTGAGGAGTTGGGTGTGTCGTGAGATCTTTGAGGAATTCATCAGTGTTGGTTCTGTCAAGGAAATTCCACTTCAAGAAAACACACGCAACAAAATTATATTGCGATATGCACAAGGGTTTTCAAATGACATTTTTGATGAAGCGTGTCGAGCCATTTTGGACTTAATGATGAAGAAGAATGTCTTTGAGAATTTCCAAAAGTCGGCGTATTTTAAACCCTTAATTAATCGAATAACACCACTTGGTGAAAACGTGGAGAACGTCGATGTGGTGTGTGGTGTAGAGACTTATGTTCAAGTAGCAAAGATGTTAAGTCCATTTAACTTAGTAGAGTATACGGACATATTTGTGAATAAAGGGTATACTATGCCACAAATTATGCCACTCGTAACAGACAAATTCATACACAAAATTGCGCGAAATAATGTTGACAGAAAACACTTACTTGACTTCTCTAAATTAGCAAAGGAGACTGAAATAGAAGCATCTTCTTTACTCACAAAAGAGGCGATAACTAAAGTCCAAACCATCAGCGACGACTTTGTGAAATTCATTGAAGAAACATTTAATAATTTGCGACAAACCCTCGATTTTCTGAATTACACGAAAACAGTGCCAAAGGACGAATTGTCTGTTGCTCAAATTCAAGAGAAAAGCGAAAACGCGTTTTTAGAGTTAAATGCAAAGCACCATGTTGCGTATCGAATGTTAAAGAAGTGTGGAAATCTTCAAGAACTTGAACCACTTCTTCCTCAGATCGTTGAGGCTTTACTCTGTCTAATGATCGATGAGCATCTTGGGGATTATAATGCATCAAATCATTGGAAAACACAAATCAAAATGCCACAGCGGTCAGTTCTACGAGTCAATCGACTTGTCCAAAAAGGGCAGAAACAGTTGTCTAAAGACGACGAAAATATACAACCGAAGAAACAATTGAATGAGAGAAACGATCAAATTGAAGACGAAGAAGAAGATATTATGGACAAATTGAAGATGATTGGAACATTCAGAAAAGCAACTGAAAAAGATCTTAGACTGTCGTTGCAAAGTCATTTGGATGAGAAAGTCACTCAATCAGAAAAACTCGAGACGAAATTGAGTCAAACTATTCTGACGATTAAATCGACTATATTACCTAAGATCTCGAACATGAAACAGCAGCTGATGAATCTCAATCGGGAAAAAGACTACATTGATATCGAAAAGGATTTGATCCTTCTGAATAAATTTGTCGAATTGGTCGGTGAGAAAATCGCAACACCGAACCTCATTAAAAACAATAAGTTCGACGTCAAGGCAAATGACTCGACTTTGAGGAAAAAAGTGAACGAAGCACTCAACGAACTCGAGTCCGTCCAAATCTCGTCAGACGCCATTTTAGAGGAATTAACTAACTTGCTTGTGCAAGTGCGAACAACTAATACCACTGCAGTGAAGTACCAGAATCTTGTGACGAAGTTAGCTAATGTATTGTGAATTGTTGTAAGTCCACAGAGTCAATATATAATAAAATAAACTCGTTAAGTAATAGCACTTTATAGAGGAATCTAATTTCATTATCATCCACTTTGAACGAGTAATCGGCAGTGAATTTGATTCCGATAAATAATACTATAAATATGGATATAAAAATAGATTAGAATAGTAAAAAAGCGATTGGAATGACAAGGAAACTAGAAATAAAGATGGCAGAGGATGGGCGTATCACACTTGAAGAATTGAAGAATTTGGTGTTGTATCTTCAACAAACAATTATCAAAACACAATCGGAGCTCATTGACACAAAAAGCCAATTGGAGAAGACAACGCGGCGCTGCGACGCACTGGAAGAGGAACTTCACAAAACTCGAAACGTCGTTCATTCACAAATTCCAAAAATAAGTGAACTTGAAAAAGCCGAGTCAGTCACTCCGAATGTCACAGAACACAGCGACGACTTCGGGTTAAGTATATATGAGCTCAACTTTATACGACTGAGTGACGCATTGAAAACGTGGACGGGTCGCGAGGAGATGTTAGTCTTATTTGACTCTGACATCGATGACCAAAGTAATGTCTCTTTTCAAGCATGTGTCTTGAACAAACACTCTCTCTTTATCATCCTTTTTGATAAGAAAGGAAACATCTTTGGTGCGTATTTGCGAAAGTCGGTGTCTAAAGTCTCGAAGAGAATGGAAGACAAAGGACATTTCATCTTTTCTTTGGAATCAAACGGAAGAGTCGACTCTCCTAAGAGATGGATCCCACGAAGTGACAAGCCTTCAACTTGTTTCATGCTCAATCGAACAAACAACACTATCGGAAGACTCTGTGAAATCGGATTTCCAGAAGGTTTTATTTCAGTCTCTAAGACCTCCTTCAGACAAAGTGGATGCGTCGACTTGTCTACTAAATATGAGGGAATCGATAACGACGACTTGAACGCAACAAACAACGAAATTTTCCATTTCGAAAGAATTATGATCGTCCAGATGCTGTAATTAAGTCTTGTTGTGTGCCTTTCTCTGATTCCCATGACATAATAATAGCGGAATAGAGTTGATTGAGACTCTCTGGTGTATCAAAACAAATTCTATACATTATAATAAAATTACTACAAAATTACTCTCCCATAATTGCGCCGAAATAACCTCACAAAGTCAACCCGATTTATTTATATCGCAATGAAAAGACATAAAACTCGAAATAGTTATGCAACCAAAGCCAAAGAAAGAAGACGACGTCCATTTAACAGTGAAGAAACGGGAGTCGCGAGACGAAGAAGCGACATTGGCGGATGGGTATTTATACATCCTTATTCGAGAATTTGGGTATAGTGTGAAGTTAAAACAAACAAAGCACGCAGAGAAAACAATCAAACTGTACTGCGCAGAGGAACTTTTCATTGAAAATGGCATATCGGTGGTGCAAGAGGAAATCCAGAAACAAGGAAGAAAGCTTCAACAACGATTTGGTGCGGAACCAATTAACACTCCAATGAACGCAAAACAAGAGCGGCGATCGCGGGAGGCCGAAGTCTCGAACGGATATCTTCAGATGTTGATCAATGTAGGATATATGCCCGAGTTCAAAGGGACACGGTCTGCACGAAAGACGATTAAAATGTATCGCGTCAAGAAGATCACCACACCCACACAAGTTGTAATAGAGAAAAACATGTTAATGGAATTTGGTAAACGCCTCGACCATGTAGTCAAGGAACAATTTCAAAAAGGTCTTCGAACAATGACAATCACTCCGGAGATGATCGCCCTATGTGAAGACGCGGCAGTTGACATGAAACTTCCAGACATTTTGAATCAACAGCAGCCAAAGAAGAAAAAGGATGCTTTAGAAGATGATACATCGACGGAGGATATCACGCAAACGGACGACTAATAGATGGATCCTGATGACATCTCTGCAGTGTGTTTCTTTGAAGATTTATATTGATTATTTGTTGGTAACTAAGTGGACTATCTAATAACTTAATTTCCATCCGTCAAAAACACTGAGATTTCAAACTTCAGATCAGTCGATTTGCTCTATGATAAGTAGAGAAGAACAAACGCAAAGAAACCCATTATTAATTGGATGAATGAATTGGAGGGATGGGAACCTAATATTGAGTTCAGTGAGGTACTCTTGTAACTCACACATTCTTCGGTAATACTGATTTTTAATACAACACTCCGTCAACCCACATGTGAAACAAGACAATGATTCCTCAAGCATTGTCTTCCATGTGATAGTCTCTGCTTGTTCAAAAAACTTATTCACCCGTTTCATCACCTCTTCGAAGTCATAGGGCTCAATATGACCAGAGAGTGCGGGAGGTCTTTGAACATAAAACTGTGGGGTGAGTCCTTTTGAGTAGTCTCTGTCTACACTTACAATTTGATAGTGCACTGTGGGGTGTGCCATTTTTTCTTAACAATTATCTCTTTTTGAGTTACAGATGATGAAACCAATTTATTGAACTATTTAAAAAGTTATTAAAATTGGTAAAAATCAATTAAAGCGAAAACACTATGATCGTCCCAATATCATCAGACGCAGCAATCAATGGCTTTCCTTCAAACTCAATAACACTCAACGACAACACTTTTGAAGGACAGCAGTTCACAACTTTCCCATTGGAATCCTTTTGGAAGTGTTTGCCTTCACCACTTTGTTCTAAGAAATCGATGGACCCATCCTCATATCCAATCACTATGTTATCATGGAAGTCGCGCATCACACTGACCGCCTTATTTAAAAACACCCAGAACGTCTTGCAACCAGTGTCTTTGTTAATTTTGTAACACTGGCCTGATGGTGTCCCAACATACACAGAGTCTCCTATAGAACACATCCCACTTATCTTCTCAGTAGATACATCAACCGTCTGCATCGTGTGAGTGGACACATTGATAATAGCAACTTTGCCATTCTTGCCACCAACTGCAATATGAGACCCGTCATATATAAGACCTTCAATCTCGTCCTCTTCCTCAAAGGGAAGATACGAGTTCAACACTTTATATGATTCCCCATCTTTCTTCCACAAATAGACAGTCTTCGCTGGTATCACTGTTTTTGTGAATTGGGACGGCTTCAAGTAAAGTCCACCCGTCGCTATAAACTGCTCGTCTTTACTGATTTCTAATTGAACCACTTCACTCTGTTGTTCAAGTAACTTGTTGGTCTCCGGCCATAATGTGTGGTAGTGCAATTCTTCCTCGGGGGGAGCACTCGTATAGATTTTGGGTACAGAGGCAACCACTATGTCTTCAATCGGCATTTCATCACTGTCAGGAACTACAAGCGTTTTTAAGTCGAACTGTGGCTTTGTTGGCGATTGCACCCGAGACTGTCTAGAGCTTCCTGTATGCTCTCTGAGGGGTGTATTAGTCAATGAAAGTGGTTGGTGATTCGCGCCAATAGGGGATTTGTCATAGTACAACATATCTTCTCGTGAGAAGTTTGAGTTTGTGACGTACCTCACGGTATCTATAAAATACTTTGAGGTTTCCAAAACACGAATTGGTTTCTCTTCAACAGAAGAAGTCAATATTCGAAGTGGATGGTCGATCATCACAGCACGTGTTAACGGATACCCATGCACTAATGGACGTGCAACTTCAACCCACCTCTCCACACTTCTCTCTTTCTTTGGTGTCTTCACAAAGACTCTGACAGTGAAATCTTCGGATGATGATATCAAAGCTAAGTTCTCTGGTATTGTAGGAAGTTTATATAACTCGACAGAAGACACTGCTAAGGAGTGACCTGTTGGAAGTACAATCTGTGTTGGTGTCGAGTACTTCGAGTCGAGTTTCCAGCCATGCAAGTGGCACAGGTTTGAAAGTGCAATGAGGATCCTTGTCTTCTCTGAAAATGCAAAACGGATATATCGCTCCTCACCGACACCCCCGAGGCGTAATGTACTCAACCATAAGTCACTCAATTGGAAGATTTGTATTGAACAGTCGATAGAAGATACTATAAACGTGTTATCATTGTGGCATGATATCCCACTAATACGTAAATCACTCACAGGTACAACAGACTCAACTTCAAGAGAGGGATACTTGTGAACAATCACCTTACCCGCATCAGTACCTATAAAGATACGATCGTTCTCAACTGACTGCCTCACTACTGTCACCCACGTCTTGTTACCTGGTATTCTCCTTTCATTCTTTCCAGTCTTGAGTACTAAAGTACCTGAAGCATCAGTTAAAGCGTAGGCGATGGTAGGTAATTGAGTCGTCGAATTTTCTAGTTCAGTTTGTGTATGCTCGTTTCTTAAAAGAACCGCCGTCTCTATCAAAATGTCACTTGAGATGTCGTCAATAACATCACCGTTTTGAATTAACAAAATGCGCATTGGTGTGACAATGAGAAGGTATGAAGAGTAAAACTCCAAATTAATAACGGGCATCTCTCCACACTCCACTATCTTCTTGCGTTGTTCAGTTATATAGTTGTACGTATATACAAGGCCTCTTTCAGTTCCAATTACTATGGTTTGCTCGTCCATCACTTCTATCGACCTTACTGATTGTCTGAAGTCGATGACTTGGACAACCGTGTTAGTGTCGACAGAAACGATACCAACGGCGTGTAAATTCCCATAAAAGTAAAACTTTCCGTCCTTAGAAAACTTGAGATTTGTCTTAATGGATGGTCCTAAAGATATCATTTGTGTTGTCATCAATGAATTTTAGATATTTGGAGTTCAAAGACTCATGAAAGGGTTATTCCGTTTTTTTCATTTTTAATTCTTTCATTGAAAACAAAGAAACTAATGACGAAAAATAATGTGCAAAAAGACGGGAAATGCACCAAATGTATGGAATGGAGTCTTTCAAAAAACGAACTGTAAAGAAGCAAATAAAAATGCCTAGAAGAGCGAATTATTCACAAATTATTTCCTTCCTTTTTCTGTTGATACAAGTCACTTGCTCCACTGAAATTAACACTTTTGCTGATATTAAAGAGGGTCCTCGGACTTTTGCAAATACACTGAATGTGATAGTTAATACAGAAGACGAGTTCAAAGTCGCCTTGGAACACCAAAGTCGACTCGACAGAATAATAGTGAAGGGGTATTCACTCATCACAAATCCAATGAATAATTTGCCATATGTTTCTGGATCACCAGATTTCGAAATTAACTCAACAAAGAAATACGCTCACATCAATTTGGGTGAGATGGTCTTTATCCAAGACTTCTCTTTTGTGTGTGCAGATGCTGTCGTGGCCTTTGTCCAGAAACACAATTTCGACGGAGTCGTCTTTGAAGATTTAGAAAGCGTGTTTTACAGTGCCGGGAGGTCAGTCAGAGACGTCAGACTGTTACTCCGAAGAGTCGGCATTGAACTTCACAAAATCAACAGAACACTGGTAGTCATTCTTCCTGTGTGTTTCTATTAAGTAATAGTAAAACAATTAATAACAAATAGGTCAAATCGCAGTCGATTGGTTCGACTGAAGTGTTCTCACTCTTGAAGTACGTGGACGAGTTCATTGTCTTCAGCACTGGGTTTTCGGAGAAGATCCACATCCAAACATACTTTGACTCCCCACTTGATTTTGTTAAGAATTGTGTCACTGACTTCTCACATGACAACGAGGAGGTTATGAAGAAAATGAATGTCATGATTAATATGGAGAGTTACATGTTTTGTAATGGCAAAAAGACTCTCATCGATCCACACAATTTAACTGATGTGTTGAGTACAGGGGAAATGGCTGAGTGGTTTGATAAAGAAAAGGAGTACTTGGTACACTTGAGTGATGGATGCTTAGTCAGTTATGTCTCTGTCGATGTTTGTCATCTTATAAACTTTTCTATTATAAATAAAAGCATTCATAGAACAGACTCTTAAAGCTAAAATAGAGTATGCTAAACAACACAACTTGGGTGTTACAATACTCAATACCAAAGGAATGAATCCTAATGCATTCTTCCTCTTTTAAACAAATTGAATTGACTCTTTATCTTTATGTTTGTTGAATATAATAAGTAGAGTCTTATTTATTTTTAGATTGGAAGTTGTTTCGTATGAACTTAAAAAAGATAGCCTATGTCGAGTGAAGAAGAGAAACCACAGTCGAAGAGAGGGGCAAAGAAGGTTGATAAGAAGTACACCAAAGAGATTATGAAAGTCTTTCAAACCATTCCCCTCGATTATTACAGTCAAAATAAAAACATTGCGGTGACTATTAACACCATTGAAGATATGGTGTCAGAGCTATTACAGGAGAATGTAGTTGTTCTTGAGCCGTGTTTCACACAAACTGATTGTAAAATATTTGCACGACCAGTTATTCAATATTCCCCAACACAAAACGAGGTTAAAAGAAACAGAAAAAGACTCAATGAAGCGATTGAAAACGTTCCACATGAGTTTGTATTAAGTATTGAAGAGGTGGGATACCAACTAGCTCCTTTCAAGAAAAAACAGCGACAAATTGGACTTCCCAAATCATTCACAGGGTATGAATCAACATACTTAAGTCGGTATTCTAAGTTGTCTGGTTCCTTGATTTGTATGAACGGTAACAAGGAACTCCTCATGCCATTCATTAAGGCTTTGCCAAAGACAAACCCTTCTGCGCTACTTAAGTTATTTCTAACCCCCCAAAAAGGAACTCAAACACATCCAGGAAAGTTGGTAAGGTACTATACTAAGGAGAACTTCATATATTGGATGAAAAGTGTTGTTCTTGTCCACTGCACTGAGCTTCAAAGAGTTCATAAAACAAAGCAAAAAGTTGTTATAGTGATGGATGAATACTTTAAACCTTTTATTGACGAACTTTGCAATGAAGCAGATTGTTCTATATTTACACCATGTTATCTTGATAGAAACACATGCTCAAAGTTAAATATAACGACTCGAGAAATAAACAAGGTTGTGAGTGAAATGATCCCAACAGAAGCTGAGGTGAATGACTGGTATGTCAAGTTCAACACATTTTGGCTTCTTCAACAGTTATCAACGAAAGTCCAGTTTGTGGATGGGCTCAACGAGAAAGTCAAGGCAGTACTAAAGAACGAACAGGACGACTCCGAAGAGGATGGAGAGCGTGATGATAACGACCAGAGTGACGATGACGATATAAAAGAGGAACAAAGTGAAGGAGTGAGTCTCAACCAAAGTTTGAGGAATAGTGACATGGAAACCCTAATTAAAAATGTTGAGGAGGTTGGTGTCATTAAAAGTGACGAAACAACTGAGTCGAACAAGAGGGAAAATGACGAATTTTTCATTCATGTAAACACGCAAGAACAGGTGGACGACGTGTTGAAGGAAACGACATCTTCTGGGCATACAAAGTCGTTAAAAATGGGCAAAAAAGAAGCGCGGAACTTTGAAATTACTAAACTCGAACTCCAAATACAAAATTTGAAGGAAATAACTCAGGAAAATTGGATTTTTATAGATAGCGTGGATCAATGGTTTAAAGAAAATAATTTTATCACAAGAGAATCAACACACTCAAAAGTGTACTGCACTTACTCTTATAAAAATGTAATAGGAAATTACTTGGTAGCAACAGAATCAGAAGCAGAGGGTTACATGTTGTCTGGTAATGGATGTCAAGTGAAGAACACAAAGAAACTGACGACAGGACATATAGAAGAGTGGTTTGATAATGTTCTTGATGATATTGTTACACACCAAACAACAAAAAAATGTATCATCATCACTAAACCATTTCTTGGGATCGCGAAGAAGCACCAACAGACGTTCGATGACAATCGGATTAGTCTTATGGTCATCCCCGATTTTGTTAGAAGCATTTCCCCTCTTAAAATCATTACACAATACACTGTCGATGAACTTATAACAACGGGAAAATACACGAACGGTATAAGTGTATCAGATATGGTATTTGCATTAAACTATTACTCAGAGAAGATTCGAGATGAAAGACTCGAAGAAGCCTTATTTTGGGGGTGGGACTCCTTGACTCAAATGAAAACAATATCAAGAGAAAAGGTCGACGCACTCTCTGACATAATTCCTCACCGTTTTGTGTCGATTTTTCCCGTTACAAAAGATAAGAACGCGGTGTGTTATACCTTCGACATCTCCTGTGTCCATCCATTCTATAAGAGCGCACTTTACCAATTTCTTCAGTCTTACAAATTTCGGTGTTGCACTTCTATAGAAGACCAGAAG